GCAGTCCTGCTTTGTCTGTGAGCAGCCTGGCTAAGGACGAGATATTCCCCATGGTACATCTGGGCAGTCCGGTCCTAGAGTTAAGGAGCTGTCTTTCCTCCCAAACCTGTGTTCTGCCTGTCATTGAAGCTGCACAATTATTATGCATTGTTTATGCTGTTTGTTTTTCACGGTATGTGGATCTCCTAACTTAGTCCTTTAATTCGTTCCATAACATGTGTGCACCTGAGTATATACAGTATACTGTACTGTAAATATATCTAGTTTTCTTCTTCAAGAAGCTCCTAGATTACTGTTTATACTGTAACCCTGGAGGAGCAGTAAAGCATAGTGGATGAATCTCTGGACTCACAGCTCTGAATGGGTTGTGGGCTCGAGTCCCTGCTGCAGACACTGCTGTTGGACCTGGAGTGAGGTTCTCTACCCCAGCTGTAGGAGTGGGGGCCAGCAGAGCTGAGGGGAGCTAAGCTCTGCAATGGACAGGAGGGGACTCACATGTTCCCTAGAATGTTAAAGGCCATGGAAACCAGGATGAGCTGGGATGACCTCCTATTTTAACCCTGGACATATCTTCCGGGTTCGAAACTGAACGCCTTCTCGCCCTCTGCTTCGCCCTCCCCCTGGCCTGGAAGGCCTTACCTCCACAGTTCATGATTTTGCGGACCGTGGTGGTGGTGAGGATGTTCCTGCTGCGGAGGAAGTCCGCGATCTGCCCTCCGATGGGCACGATGATGGTCATGACCAGATGAGGGACGGCCGACAGCATGCCCACCTGGCCGAGAGAAAAGCCTGTTGACTGACCGTTCGGAGCGCCTTCTACCACAATCAGCTGAGAGGCCCTGAACACGCAGCGGTCAAGCACTGGAATCAATTGCACTGTGTCATTTTTAGTGCTGCTCCGCATACCATCTTATACCATGCAAAAAAGATCAATCCGACGTCAAACTATAAAATGACTTGAACTCTAAATCCTAGTGATACAGTAAACAGATGTTACGGTGCCGAAGGACTCCTGTTGCACAGTCAGTTTCAGTGAGATGGCATGAGGGGTCAAGCAGTCATAGTGCCCCTTGCCACACGCACGCACACACACCCGCTATCCAGCTCGGCCTGTCTGCCCATCCCCCTGCCTCCCAGCCTCATGAGCGCGCTGTCTGTGCAGCTTGAGGTGCCCTCACTGCATGAAGCGCTCCATGGCCTGGCTCTCGCAGAGGAACAGAGCGAATCCTGTCCGTCTCGAGGACAAGGGATTTGAACAATAATCTTCCAAGTTCAGCTGTTGTAGTTCCTATGAACAGTTATGAACGACAGTAGGCCAGCAGACCCCTCAGACCCATAAGGTAGTTAGCAGCAAACTGATCTGGGGATCTCATCCAGCTGGTTCTTGGAAGAAGTGCCGCTGTCAGCTTCAATCGTGTGCACAGGGAGCTTCAAAGGCTGGGAACCTAATTCAGTGTTTTGCATAACACCTGTGAAAAAACACTAATCATCTTATCTTATTATGGGTTCAAATCCTAGGTGTAGACCCCTTAAATATAGCCTTTCAGATTGTTCCAGTGACGTACCCTGTTGTATAAATTTCTACAAATACCTTTTGAGTGAGAGCTCAGTCTCATTAATTAAGAATTAGCAGTAGAGAGGAGTCTAGAAGGTGAATGTGGTTTTCACACAGAAAGTGTAAAAAGACACACAGATGGGCACAGCACAGCTCTAACCATCGTCAGAGCCTGAATTCCCATTAGGCCTGGAGGGAATTAAAGCAACAGGAGCTACCGTCTGCCTGAAAACACACACCAGCCTCCTTCCACTCGACTCCTTCCTGCCCAGAGCTCTGCTCTGCTAATCCCTCCCAGAGCAAAGCAAAAGATCAATCACTTGGCAAAAAGGAGGCGCAGGTACAAGATTAACATCTTCCTTTTGGCCTGGCTCCTCGCGTCACTGTAAGGGTTTGAGATATTTATGGAATTGTGTATCTCTGCATGCCTGTCATTACACATCATGGCACTGGAGAGACGTGGGCTTGATTACATTGAGGCCTGATGCAGATACAGTAAATCTTACTGCAGGTAATAATCAGATGGCAAGCCTAGGGAAGCACTGGGGTATCGCTTAACTGGAGGTGACCCATCCTCCTCCCACTTGAGCACTGCAGGCAGAGCGACAATAAATCCTGAGAGCCAGCTCCCTGGGACAAACACTGCATAAAAGTAGGGTGTTTGAATTGCACAGGAATATAACTGGGTTTCATTATTTCCCTGTGCCTTGGGGCTGCTTCTCCGCTGCCACCTCCTGACACTGGTCCTACAAGACCTGGACCCTGAGTGATGTCCAGCAGGGACGGGGTCACAGAGGAGGATCGAGCGAAGCTTGGTGTCTCTGGACCTCCCAATCGACACAAAGGTGCAACAGTATTGCCATTGCTAAAGAAGCACCCAAGGCAGAATAAGGCCATAGCCACGGTAATTCCAATAACAAAAGATTAAAGAGGAACTGCAACACTATTTTTAGATTTCGGGGTTAGAAAGAATCAGCATTGATGAGCGCGTCTCAAACCATAATGAAAGAAAATGTGCACAGTAACTTCCTCCAAACCTCCAATTTACATCAGTAAATAGACGAAATTTCCAGGTTAGCACAGCGCCATATTGCTGTCATTGTCTGCGATTCAGAACGAGGCAACAAAATGTCCAGTGAGGTGAAGCAGCCCTATTACACTTGAAACAAGCGGGCTTGTGAATGCATCTGTTTTAACCTAACAGAAATATTGCTCTCGACTTCAAGATGGTTTTGCAGCTAAATAGAACTTACTTGTTAACTCTGCATGCAGATCACGCTGGAACGTTTCTGCAGTGAGATGTCTGCTGCACAATTATGTACTTATTTGCTTGAGCATCACAGTTTGTCGGTCATGACAGGGACTAGAGAGCAGGAAGGGCTGCTTTATGTCATAGTGCGCCTCGCTCTCATCCATGACAAGACCAGGGGTTTGTGACAATACGGTACTTTCACAAAGCTCACAATCTTGTGCTCAATTTGGAATTTGAACATGTTTTCTGTACCGTCAATGAATTTATTTTGTTACCGAGATTAATAACCGGTCTGACAAATTGGGACTGCAGTTCCCCTTTAATGATCCAAAACCGCTCAGAATCACGTGAGCTTGAATCTTCCCTGCTGGGCGGACTCTGACCTTGCTGATCTCGAACCCGAACACCTCTTCGAAGTAGGCAGGCTGGCTGATGAGCAGCAGGTAGAAAGTCCAGCTTCTACAGAAGTTGGCAACGATGATTGCATAGACTGGCATGGAGGTAAAGAACTTCTTCCAGGGGGTCTTGTATTTCTGGAGAAGGAGAAGAAAGTCAACAGCTATTTGTAGAATGACAACAGGGAGAAGCAAGTCAAACCACAGATTTCACTCAAACTACGTTCCTTTCCATTTCACAAGAGGACGACAAACGGGCAGAATACAAAAATATAATAAAGAAATACTAATATAACGGCACAGTTCGTTTGTGCAAAGCATTCAATTTAATTCAGGACAAGAGCAGAAGCCATGCACAAGCAGGGGTGCAGGGAATGCACACTGCTCATTCCGGCTGACATTCCTTCAATAGTCCATAGGAATTCCTAGCCATTAGGTTGCCATTTCTGCTATGACTGCCTCTGTCCACTGCCCTGGCTCAGCAGTGAGAGCACCAGCCGTGTATCAGAGAAGGAGACCACACTCCACCCGGTCCTGAGCAGGTGTCTACTGGAACAGCTGGCACATCAGCTCGATCTAGCGCGGAGCCAAACCGCTACGCCTAACGATGTTCAAATGAACTCGGCCGAAGAGTGAGAACATCCCACTGATGGATAGCAACCTTTCCCTGTCAGATCCCACACCCAGATGCCCCATCACTCAACCAATTAGCACTTGCGGATGAGCACCGTTCCTTTCCTTAACGACGGCCTCCGCGCTATATTCCCATCCTCCCTCTGACCCGCTGAAGGACTCCGGGTCAGACGCCTCCTGCACTCTCATCTCAAGGCCACCTCTCGCCAGCAGGGGGAGCCGCTCTGCTGGGCAGCTCGTGGGCTCGCTCACCTCTGCGGGGCCCAGCAGCTTGGCACTCTCCCCGATGCTCTCCTCGATGTAGCTGCGCTCCTCGTCCGTGATGGTGGGGTGCACGGCGGGGCTCTCGTACGACACCAGAATCCAGAACATGTACCAGAACATCCCGAAACACCCTGCAGCGGCAGGCGGGGGGGGAGACGCGTCAGGGGGAAACGGTGGGAACGGGACCGACAGAGGGCGGGGATAATTTACCGTGAACGTCCGAGCCGCCCGGCACACGTACCGTATACATAGAAGACCGAAGACCACCCGGAGTATTGCACTAAGATCCCGGCGAGGGGCATGGCTATAACGGCACCAGCATAGGAGCCTGCAGGGAGACAGGAAGGGCTTGAGAACACGCTGCTGCGCCCAGCAAAAGCCAAGAGCTTGAACATGGAGCGGGTCAAAGGTCAACTTCAGCACAGGACGGAGCATGAGCTATTATTTGCATTATTAATTAATGCACTGATGCATTCATCCAGGGTAACTTATACAGTATTTAGACCTATTTAAATCTAACGGGCTGCATTACTGAAGCAAGATCACTTTGTTGGCCCTATACAATTTCTTGCATTAGGAATTTGTCTTTTCGCAGACCCCAGCTTGCTCTCCATGAGACACACAGACAGGGAGAGAAGCTGGGGGTCAGAGCGCAGGGTCAGCCATTGGAGCAGTTGGGGTGAAGGGCCTTGCTCAGGGGCCCAACGGAGTAGGATTCCTCTGCCGGCCGCGGGATTTGAACCGGCAACCTTCCAGCCACAGGCGCAACCACAACCTTCCAGTTGCAAGTCCAGCACCCTGACCAGTGCACCACACTGAGGCCCCCAGCTCACTGCCATTCACGGGCTTACCAGTCGGCCACACCGGGCTGCTGGGGCTGCCCTGGCACACCCTGCCGGGACGCACAGGGTTGGAGGTCGGGGAAGAGGTGGGAGGAATTGGGTCAGGCTGCTTCCAGCTGACCTCTGGGGTAAGGATTGACCATTCTCTTGGCCCTAAACGGACACCAGATCACACCCTCATAGGAGTCCAAATAAAATATCTGATGATTCCTGAAAAGGGTTGCATGCTCAGCGTCAATGATAATAAACACATCTCTTACCACAGAAGGAGGTGGTGGCCAGTCTGCTTCTTTCCAGGGGTGGCGCCCATTTACTCCAGATCCCATGGCAGGCAGGGTACGTGACTCCCTGCACACAGAGTCATGCGTTAGCCTTGCTCACACTGTGC